CACTTGAGGCTCAGCCAAAGTGAGTCTTTGCACTGCCTACTAGCAAGATTTTCCCAACTAATTATAGCTCTTCCAAATCCCCCATTTACAACTGAGACCTCATCATACCAGGCCCAGTATAAAATATACCAACTGTCAATTCTGACCCCAAAAACATAATTTAACCCAATAGGATAAGTAAATGGAACAGACCAGCACAATGTGGCCAAGTAAAGAAGCAAGTCAGTGGCAGCGCCAATAAACAGACTCCTAACCCAATAATTAAAGTGGTTTATCCATATACTTTTGCAAGTTCACTTCCTCCATCATATTCCATCAGCAAAATAGTAGCAAAGAATTATTTTATAAAATTCCAAAAAAAGTGTTATGCTGCCTATTAGGATTCTCAGGCAGAAATGCATGTTGCTATTCGACCAAAGCTGTTGACCAAAGCTGTTGATTCCCTGAACTAGTTAGATTTCTTTAAATTAAATTTTTCATTTGCTGCAAGACAAAGAAAATTGTATGATTTCCATCATGTTAGTTAACATTATTCACTCCCTTGGGTGAAAAGAACAGTCGACCTGAACGCCAGACTTGAGGTGTTCATTTAAAATTGAATATATTCTGGCAAAACATAAAAGCACCTTGTGTTTCCATATTCATTAGAGAATGAAAAGCTCTTTACTTGTCTATTCTTTGTCAGTAAAAAGGTTAAAAATATCATTTAAAAAAACTGATGAAAACAAAGCCAAGTCTAAGACAGAAATAGAATTCTTAAAAAAAAAAAATACTGCTAAATGAAGCATCACAATCTTCCTAAGAAAGACCCTCTAACATGCCCTGTTTCACATTACTGGAACAATATCTGATCTACATTCAACCTAGGCTGACCTACCAAACCCCACCCCCAAAAAAAACACAAACCAAAAATCAAGCAAACGAAGTCAAAATTCAGCAAATGATGTAACTTTACATCACAACATAAGATATAAGTGCTGCCCACTTTGAAAGTACTGGACCATGTTCAGAATCCAAGACAGTTCTAAATCAACCTGTAGGGTGCCCAAATCCACAAAAAAGCAAGGACAGAGTAAACAGGAAACAAACCTTATAAGACAAAGGCAGTGCAGAAGCCATACTGGGCAGGACAGAAGAAGCAGAAACAGTTTAAGACCAGAAAAGACATGCACATATTCTTAGTATGTAATGGTCTGTAGAAGCCATTATATTCTCCAACTAGGTCACAACTCTACTGTTTGTAGGACTAGCTGGAGCTTTAAAGTGAAAAAAGCTGACTCCTTGCATTTTCTCAACAGAAAGTTAATATGAAGTAATTGTTTCTAGGAGCCACATAATTAGATGAATCTTTTACATCAATTTGGTGATTTGATCATTTTAGCCTATTGACTGGATTACTTCTTAAATCATTCTTAAATCTTAGAACCTTTAGTTGATCATTGTGTTATTCCATTTTTAATTTAACCTTGTAAAATCACACTAGATTAGTATAGTATACTAAATTATTCTATTGCTCATTTACTATTGGGAAAATATTAATAAAGCCACTAGTATAACTTCTTTAAAGCCAAGGAAAGATCCATCCATACCAAAGAACTTCAGACCTCTTCCTCTCCTATGCCACATACAAATCGTACGCATGACTGATACTGAACCAGCCTGCCCCATACGTGGATAAACACCTAATCCCTGAACAGGGCTGCTTTTCCCATGGAGGGAGGAGGGGAGAAAAATCAGTAATGAGCCAGCTGCTCAATCTAACTCAGCATACTGAGAATGGGTTTGAAAGAAACCAAATCACAGGAGCTGTGTTAGTTAACCCAACAGCTGCCTACAGTACAGCTACTCACTGACTATTCCTCCACGAGACCCTAGAAATGACAAAAGATCTACACCTGACAGGGCTGATACCAACCCTGTTCAGAAACAGACTTTTTTTTGTCAACCTGGATGGGAAGCGAAGCAGATGGAAGCAACATATTAATGGCATCCCCCAAGGAAATGTACATGCACGGCTGTTATATAATATCTAAATAAATGACTAACCAACCGATTTGGAAACAAAACGTTTCATCTATGCAGATGACCTGTGCATAAAACAGACCAAAACACTGCCTTCGACCATGTTGAAAAATTCCTAAGCAAGGACCTACCTTGGCCTAACCTCAAACTACATTGAAAACCAATCGTGTGCCAACTCAGTGAAAGCACAAGCACGTGCCTTCCATCCGAAAAACCATGAGGCCAACTGCCAGCTAAACATTACCTAGTCCAGGATTCCACTATCCCACTATCCAAATCCAATTAATCATGGAGTCATCCTCAAATCAAACCCTCTCACACAAAGAACACACCATGAAGACAAAGGCAAAGTTGAATACTCGTAACAACATTCTATATAAGTTCACCAACTCAAAATGGGGAGGTAGCCCCTCAACCATCCAAACTACCACTCTGGCTCTCAGCTTTTCCTCCGCTGGGTATGCATGCCCTGTATGGGCAAGATCTAAGCACCTCAACCCCATTCTGAATGATAGCTGCCAAGGCATCACAGGATGTCTGAATCCTACCAGCCTAAACAGCGTGTACCAGCTGGCTAGCATAGCCTCACCTGACATCAGAAGACCAATGGCCAACATCATAGAATGACTGAGAGAAACTGAAGCTTTGAGACTCAGGCTGCATTACCATTCTGCAGCACACAAATATTTGAAGTCATGCAAGAGGATAGGAAAGACAGGTGGGGGCGTGGCACTCTATATTAAG